GTATACTCAACATCCCAAACATTCCTTGCATTAAAGTTACCGTTTGCTGTTTTTTTGGATCTACATAACGGTTAATATCAAATAATTTAATTACAGGTTAAATAAGTTATGTTAACAAATAAAATATATTCATATACTCCGTAAGTTCTAACGATATCCAATAGTTTCAGTTAAGGTTTGTCAAAGTCAATGAGTTTGTACATGAGAATCAAACATAAGTTTTTATATTGAATTTTGTTGACAATGATATATTTTTTTTTTTTTTTTGCGCTCTTTAATGTTATACACACATGGAGTATTTACTTTCTACACTCGTAAAAATGAAATATAATAAATTATTGATTTATTTACAAAAATATCACTAGATCTATGATTTTTGTTTATCCTGATGATCCCCGCTCCTTATTACTCCGTATTTAAGATGGACGCTAAATAAATAGGTGAGCAATCAGTGTTCGTTGCTAAAGCATCAACATCTTACAAGCTACAGCTCCAATGAGTTGTCATATAACTAAATCTGTTGGATCCGATTCAATTGATATCCATAATCAACTACAATAATGTGTAGTAATGTAGTGTCACATGATCAAACTGTTGACCTTCCTCGATTAGCTAGTAATTAGTTAGCTACTAATGCATTAGCCATTTCATAAGCCTGAAAAATAAGGTTGGTCACGTGAGATAGCCTCTAAATTGATCCAACGTATGCGTAAGCTTAAACCATACGAATCATCATATCAATAATCTCTAATAAATAAAGAAGTAAAAAGAAATAGAGTATAATGGTTGCTCATTAACTTCGTATATTTTTACACGGTTACACCATTAGATAGGTTGGACCTAATGAAGCTAGAGGTGAACAAAAAGTATCCACTATGGACTCCTTGACATGTTTACTCGTAACTCGTTTGCTAACCAAGTGAACAAGATTTTAACCGAGATTGTTTGCGAGTTATGTATATATTTTTTTTTTTTTTTTTTTTTTTTTTTTTTTTTTTTTTTTTTTTTTTTTATATACAAACATATAGACCGGTGACTTATTTTAGCTTTTAAAGTTTGTTTCTCATTAGTCGGTAAAAAGGTACTGCTTACAAACTTCATCTAGGTGTCATTTCTTGATTTTAATATTCACATAAGCTACTTTGTATATATACAAACATATAGACCGGTGACTTATTTTAGCTTTTAAAGTTTGTTTCTCATTAGTCGGTAAAAAGGTACTGCTTACAAACTTCATCTAGGTGTCATTTCTTGATTTTAATATTCACATAAGCTACTTTGTATATATACAAACATATAGACCGGTGACTTATTTTAGCTTTTAAAGTTTGTTTCTCATTAGTCGGTAAAAAGGTACTGCTTACAAACTTCATCTAGGTGTCATTTCTTGATTTTAATATTCAAATAAGCTACTTTGTTTTTCATTGAAGGTAACTTATACTATATTTCAAAAAACATAATCATATGAATTCTAATTAAATTCGTCTTAATATATACATTTTCAAACGTAAACTTTTTGTAAAATTTTCAGATAATGATTATAATTTATAAATATTGATTTTTGAAATCATGTATTTATTGAAAAATGTATCTAAAGGAATGTCTTAGATAAATACAAAGAAAAAAAATATCAAGTTTATCTCTAAAATCTGTTTATATATCTTATTTCATCTCACAATTTTTCTTTTTTTAATTTACAATATAATAAAAGTTTTTTTTAATAAAATGACAGAAAAACAATTGGGTTAAATTGTATGAGGAGATAACCTTAGATGTAATCTCGGAAATGAACCTAAATAACCTCAAACAAATGGACGAATAAGTATATTGTACTGAAACTTTTGGGCATTATATTTAGACAAGCAGACATATATTCTGCTGCCAATTTGCAAGTAAGAAAAAAAAAATAGGAGCAATAATGAATAATGATTAAAAGTAGACAAGAGACAAGAGACGATTTGCAAGAGTAATTAATTGTGAAGCCCACCCACACATACACAATTACACACACACTCACCATACTTATGAAATATCAATTATCTATCATACTTTACCACATTCGTAGGATCCAATGACTAATACTAGAGTACTAAAACTTTCAACTACGATGATAATATCTGATTTAATTAACTTTTTGATTAATTAATTATTTAATTAAAGTCAAAAAACAAATTGAGTTCTCGGGACCTTCCTATGGTCTTTGGAACCCTTGCAACTTTCACAATTTCAGGAGAATCCCTTGCCTTTTTGCTTACATTTTTTTTAACCTATGCTTTTGATGTGTATATTACTGTATTGTATACTACCAAATGACTATTTATTATAGGCTTTTTTTTTCTTTTTTTTCTTTTTTTTTTAAGATGACTATTTATTGTAGTTTGGACCCAAAATTCTTCAACTTTTTTCATCAAATCAATAAATAAAAAATGACTTCAACTTTTTTTATTGGATTAAGTTTTGACTCAATTATTCAAATTTAGTGTATTTTTAGTGTATTGATACACTTGATACAGATGAGATTAATCTGATGAGATTATTTCTTCTCTTTTTTTTTTTTGGTTAAGTTGGTCTTATATGCTCAAGTAACGTACAATTAATTTGTTTGAAGTAAAAGTACTTTGTGTACAATTTTCAGTACATGACATGCTGATTTGTTGTTTGATGTCTTGTATTGTGGACTTCATTTTGGATCTTGTGCTATGTTCACTTACAAATGTGATGCATATCAATCACGCAAAACAATGCAGAAGATTGGACTTTCAACAATATTGGTCATCACACACATTGGTTTTGATATATTAAGCTTATTATTTTGAACCATATTTTCTTCTCCTAAAATTTAGCAAATTGAATTGATTATTGGTGAATGAGATCAATTTTCATAACTTATTATTACAAGTTGAAAAAAAAGATAAAATAAAAATAATATAGAGATATAATCAACAAACTAGTACAAAATTTTCCCTTATTTTTGTCTTTGATACACTATAATTTGTTACACATTTTTAAATTTGAACTTTGAACGCGTACTTTGTCTCCTCCAAGAATTTTTCCTCCTAGCACACCTTTTTCTTAGAAGAGGATAAGTACAACTATAATTCACATTAAACATCTATTCTTTGTTCATGACATGGTATAATATTCAAATTCATAAGTTTTAATCATACAAGTATGAATCAATGGACCATCTAAGACCCAAAAGAAATGAAGTTTAAAGATAAGAAGTACCAAAAAAAAAAAAGAAAAAAAATAGTATTAAGGTATGTACGTGTATCTTGGGCTAGTGGGTCCATTAATAAATTTTAATTGGTTAATTAGAGGGTGCAAATATTAGGAAAAAGGATGCTTCATGTTTAATCTTTATGCATGTTCAAAACTTTCCAGCCTACATGTGTTTTTGTTTATCATACGAAAAATGCCACAGTCAAACTTCATTTCTTTATCAATCTAGATTCCCGTCTTTTTCTTCTTTTTTTATTTTGCCTTTGTATTTATTTTTATGATTTAATGAAAAATAATCCTGGAAGAAGCCAAGGTTTTAGTCAGCAAAGCAAGTAATATTTCAGGAATTTCGGACCCTTGTTTTTGGGCTTCTTTTTTGGTTCACTTTTCGTTGCTTTGTCTTTAATTAACCTAAAGCACAACAAACAAACCACCCCACCTCCAAAACAATGAAAATAAATTGTTATATTGGTTGAGTTGTAGTCTTGTAGAGATGATCGACAATAGCGTAAATTGGTTTTGACGTTAATACATTCCATAACTAGCTCTATTCATGTCTCGGACCATCTTTTATACATCAGTTTTATTATTTTTCCAAGTACCTTTGTTAGGCCTAATAATTTAACTTTTACCGTTTAGCTCCAGTGGCGAATATAGAATATTTAGTGTGGAGGGGCACTAAATGAAAATAAAATGCTTACTTATTTGAGGACTTGAATCTAAGACTTTTAGCACAAACTCAATGCATTACCTCTATGACAAAGCTAATTTAATGTTATTTATTGCATTAAAATTGTATTTAACCTATTACACCTTTACCTGAATAAAAAAATAAAAAAAAATTAATTTTTAGTAGGGTCGGTACCACCCAAGCCCCTTAATAGATCCACCACTGTTTAGCTCTGTGTATATGTTGATTTGACATACATAATACGCCTTAATATCCCTTTAAAAATTACATTAGACTCCTCTTCGCACAAGGTCGTACATAATATTGAACTTACCCTCGTGGAATCTCTCGAATAACTTTGTCAGTCATTCTAAAAACATTAACGCAAGTAAAATACAGCTTTGAAGGATATAAATGCAGAACATAAACATGAAACTTTGACCACATGAAGTTGACAAATTAAGGGAGTATAAAGCTACATTTATTAAACAGTAATACAGATTTAAGCATGGATTTTCCTCGTTAATCTTGGTATGATATGAAAGGTGGTGGAAAATGATTTTCCAAGTAAATGGATGACAACAAAATAAAAGACGTGCCAACCTCACTCACCCAAAAAAATAATGAATCCGTATGTCAAAAAGAGTAAAAAGGAGAAGTGGAAGAAAGCATCTTAGTGCATTCTACAATTTACTTATAAATATATGCCTAATATTCTTGTCTTGGTATATTTGGTAAACGCTTACGCTACATTGTGCAAATTTGTGGTAAAACTCATTGGCATATTCCTTTACTAGTTAGTACATGGTCTATATCCTTAATGATAATTTTAATTTTCTAATTATTACTTTAGCCTAAACATATCACCCTAAAAGTGTTTTATGTTATGTTACCTTGTTTAGTAATAATTCTACACCGTATTTGTCAATAATTATTTAAAATTTAACATTTACTGTATCATTTTGATAACTTATTGTTCATCATTATCTCATCTACCAATTGCACTGAAAAAAAAAAAATCATGTACTAAAATTTGACATAATTTAACAATAATATATCCTCAAATGTTTAAGCACCACACCAAAAAAATAATTAACAAGGCATAATATGGCTATAGGGTAAATTTAGTTTCATAGCTAGTCACAAAATAACAATAAATGAAGGAATGAATTTCCTTTCTATAATTCATCAAAAATTTCTTTTTTTTTTTTTTTCTTATCATTTACAAAATTCTTGTATATTAATCTCTCCCAAATTTTCACCTATTTCATCACCCAAATTATAAAAAAAAAAAAAGAAATCAAATTAAACCGAGATTAACATGGCATAATATGGGTAGTTTTAGTATCATAGCTAGAAAGGCAAGACTTAGAATTAACCCTGAAAATCCTAAGCAAATCACAGCACATCCTCTTGACAGCAGGGGAGCAATCACTCTGCATCAACAATAATATCTTGGTTAATCCACCATTACTTTTCATTACAGATTCCTTAACTCTTTGATCGCGAAACAAGTAACACAAACCCCATAATAGTGTAATACCATGCTCGTTCACTGCGCTCGAAACCTTCATTAACATGTTGATTATCATGGGTATACAATTCGGATCATCAATTATAGCTAGTCGACCCTCCGTGCACCCTGCTAGCATTTCTAACAGGGTGAAAAGGAGCTCAACGGTAACAATAGTATTACTATTGTTACCGTGTGAGGTAATCATATCGCCTATAGTTTTAACTCCTCCCGCTCGGACCAACTTTTGTTTGTTGCGCCGAGGGGAGGAGAAAGAAATCAGGCAGGATAAAACGGCCTGTTTCTCTACCTCTTGTTCGAATCTCCCTTGCTTTAGTATTCCCAAGAGCTCCACCCCGAGCTCTTGGTGGTCAAACACGATTTTCTTCGTTTCGACGTCTTGAGCAAATGTCTCAAGAATACCAGCCGCTGCAACCCTGGACCCTGGCCGGCCAGTTTTAAGAACCCGAGCCAGGGCCGAAACAAGGTCGCAGCGGCTACTACCCATCTTGTCATTGCCTGCTGCACCAATGACAAGATGGAGCAGTTTGAGCACGGCCTCGAGGAGGTCCGGGGACAGATCCGGACCTCCCGAGGACACGGTTCGAATCAAAAAATCAACAAACAACCCATTCGAACCCAGAAATCTCCTGTTCTCAGCCGATTCGGAAGCGAAACACAGAATCTTAACAACACCCTCAAACAAAATCTCATCATCCTTCTCATTTTCCGTCTCCAATTCTAACAATTGTTTTATCAAATCCGATACGAAACTAGATGACACGGAATGGAATTGCGGAAGAAGAGCACCCTTGAGAGCGGAGGCGGAATGGTGGTGGTTGGTGGACCAGATCTGAATGAGACGTTGAAGGGTATGGTTAGGAACGAAATCCTTGGTGTCTAAAACTTGCATCGTAGCCGGACACGTATTGTTGCCGCTGTCTAACCACCGTTGGATGCTGGTGCGGTCGTAGGTAACACCGGTACACAAACTCACAGGTGATTTCATTACATCTAATGAAATTGGACACTTGAAAAAACTTGGAACACCGATGTATAATTCATCTTTACCCATGATAATTTCTTCTTTTTTTTTTTAATTTAATTTTATGGGAAATTTGTTAATTTTTGTGATTTATAAATCAGTCAATCAATCAATATTTGGAAAAATGGGAGAGAAAGAAGAAGAGAGAGAAAGAGGAGGAAGAGAGAGAATGGTATAAGAAGAAGAAAAGAGGTCAAATGTGAAAGGTATAGGAGAAGAAGGGTGACGTGAGAAGGGAGGATTTTAATTGGAAATATAATAATTAAATATATTCGATTCAATGTTGGTGTGGTCTACGGTCAAAAAAAAGAGGGGAAAAAGGAAAGATTGTGATTTTTTTAATTTAATTTTTGGAAGTATATTTAATTTGATTTTATTTTTAGAATTCGGTGGGTGGGAAATAAAAGTGGTTGTACGATACGGCGTAGGTCTACTAGTCGATCTTTTCAACAAATCTAAGTTAATTTAGGGAGTATTTTATGAAGCATTTTTGGGTTGTGATTTTTGGAAGTGGTCAAGTGGATTATCTGTGGAATTGTGGAGTTTGGAGCTAAGCAAAGTGGCTTGTGGACCCCTTACTCTTTAGGCGGGTTTCATTTGTTGCCGTGGGATTTCATTTAAAAATAAAAAATTAATGGTGTTTGTTAAAAATAAAAAATTAATGGTGTTTGTTATAAACCGGTGATGTCGGGTAAGCTCTTGTATTATGTCAATGGGTCGTTTTACCCTTTTGTTTAAGTGAGAATGGTTTAGAATGGATTAAGAAAAAGTTGTATTGTGTTATACTGGTTTTTTACCGATCTTTAATGAATGAAATGCATAGATTGGTGTGTAACATGTTGCGTCATTAAGCCCTCTTAATAAATTTTACTTCGTAAATGAAAAAAATTATAGGTTAACATGCGACATGATTCGTCGTCTTCGTGCCAACTTTTAGAAATGATATTCATGCACATCGCATGGTCCATCGACGTGCTTGTCCTATCGTATCAGACTTGTATCTTGTTGAGTCATATCATTTTCATGTTGTGTTTGACCAGGTTATCGTGCTGGCCAGCTCATGCCCAACTCTGTTCTAATAAACATGTGTGCTCTTAATTTAAATTTATTCTTTTAGCTTACAAATTAAATGATGCACTTCAACCAAAGTGTTGGTGATTTACTTTGTTAATTGTTATTTATCTAATTACGCAATACTATTGAGATTTTTTTCTTGGTAGGTTAGTGACAATGTCACGAGCGGGACATGGTTCTAAAAAAACAATTGAGATAGGATACGCTAAAAAATTTCATCGTACGAAGTTTAGAGTTGAATTCTAAATAAATAAAGTTGATTTTTAGCTTAATCGAAAATTTTGTGCATTGTCTTTACCTTGGCTTGCAAAAAAAATGACAAAAAAATATTAAAAAATTTTCTTTGGAAGTTTTCCATTCAACTATTTGAATTCATAATGTGTACTATCTTCTTGATTTTATTCCTAGTAAGTGATTGTTGAAGCTAGACTTGAAGTTACGTCTACAAATTCAAAAATAGTTATACTCGTAGATACTAGCGATATCTTGAACAATGATTAAGTATTTATTGAATAATTTCATACATAGTTTTTTTTACGAGAATTACCTACGTGGTTGATTAAAACTTCATTTGCTTGTTGATTCATCTAGTTGATTGCTTTCAAAATTCCAAATGTTAAAAAAAAGAAAAATAACCTTCCCTATACTTTTTATAAGACAACATACTTCATATATCATGACATATAAAAAGCTCTTATTGTATGATTTTAATGGGAAAAAAATAAAAGCACCTTAGATCATGGAATGATGCTTGTTATAGGCTTCACAACTTGAGCACATTATAACTAACTAAAACTACTTTCACTCTACGTTATCCTCAATGTAGACTATTCAAAACCTCCATTTATTTTATGGGTAAGTTTTGGAATGTTTTTTGGGATTGCTTATTACAAGCCTAAACCCAATAAAAAGTGGACAACTAGCCAAAATTATAGTAAATCTATGCATCTCTCATCATTATATTATATCACAAAATTCTCATGGACAGACTTGGGCCTTGGGCTAATTAGTCCTACATCTTAGTGGCCCAATTTCTCAGTCCAGTAACAATTAAATGAATTAGTACTATGAAAAAAAAAGAAACAATTTTTGAATCCAACTGTTGGATTATTGAACTTTTCTTCTTTTGCTGATTTCCAATTATAACAATGAAATCGTATACATGAAAAAGGCTGAAAAATTATAAACGAAACAACAAAAGAAATATTAACGTGTAAAAAACATCAAACAAACAAATAAATTTTCCAAACTTTACGTATGAAAATGTAAGATAGAGTAAGTAGACAAATAGTATAAGATGGGTCCATCAAAATTGAAGGGAGTGTCAAATCAAAGAGGGCCCAATTATGGAAAAAAATTGAACATTTATTTAATTGACTACTTCAATAACTTGCACATTTTCTCCAATCAAATTAACTGCTCTTGAAGTTGATATTGAAATGGAATTGGAGTTTTGTTACTTCAATTAATGTTATTCTGCAAGTTTTGACGTACTTGGCCTCTAGCTTCCATCTTTTACCAACTTTATTGTATAAATAAAACCACATTTATTACATGATTCAATGTTGACATATCATAAGCAATCAATTACAACTAGGTGTTGAAATAAATGTTAAGCCGAGACCTCTTATAAGTAATTAAACCAAGCTAGTTATATAAGTGAAGCTCTTGAAAGTGGGATAAAGAGTATGAAGGTCCTCTCATCCAACTCAAGATCCTCAATCACTAAGATAGAGTCTAACATATTGGTTGATTATTGTAATGGAAGCAAAACACTATCAACTACAACAAGCACTACTTAAAAACAACGATTACCCCATTTGTGTTTTAATAAATGTTACACTTTCTTTTTTGGCAAAAAAATAACATTTAATTATTATATCTCTCTCCTTTCATGGTCCCTACCTAAACCCACTACTACTTTTTTAATTATATTTTTTTCTCTCACATTACTTACTTTTCAATAAACTATTAACCCCACTATCTTTCTTTTATAATTTTTTAATACTCCAATTACTCCACTTATCTCTTACTTCCTCTATTTCTTTTTAGTTGACACGTTTTTTAGTCGCGTTTGTCAATGCACAAATTCAACCATCAGTATCTTTACTTTCCGATAAGCAAAAATTATAAAAAATTGATATTTAGAAAATATATATCGCAACAATTCTAACAAGATTCCACATCACTATATTTTTTTTATTACATATAAATCACAAAACACGGTCAAAGATAAGTGTGTGAATAGTGCTAAAGTCAAAACATGTCAACTAATAAAAACGGAGGTAGTATTTTATTTAAGTCAATTAAATTGCCTAAAACTGTATGCCGATCAAATTATAGCACTTATTAAAACACGAAGGAAATATTTAATTATCAACACTTTAGATTTTGGAGTAAGTAAACACATAAAAACTAATTTTAAACTTCTTTTTTTATAGACGAGTAATCCCTAGTCTCACATTAATGAACATAAGAGACACTTTCATAAGTCATCATGTACGTGACCTCAGCTAGTTGCCACATAAGAGTAATGGAGTAGTACTATAAATGAAAGTAAGCAGTAGTTCTATTATTCTAATTTGTGTCACAGACAGCTGTACACATGAAATATTTACCTTTTTAAGCTTTTAATTTTCACCCTGCTTTTAGCGATTCAATTAAGTTTCACACCCCCACTTTAATGAAAATAAAGTTACATAAAACCTGGTGATACATAAAATTTACCCCAGCAAATAAATATTTACCCTATGCAGTAACAGTATAATTGAATAAATATAAAAAGGGTAACTGTTTGGTTTCCAAATTCGTACATGAAAATCTTTACCCCCTTCTCCGGAAAAAGGGGAACTGCCATAATTTTGCAACACTCCAACAATATAATAAAATTAAATTATACATCAGCAAGTTTTTCAAAAAAAAAATAAAAAAATTATACATCAGCAAGGTACTCTTAATAGTATACTTGTATAGACTATACAAATATTACTTATATATTGAGAGACAATTTCCTTAAATTATGTGGCTACTTCACTGTCAAATCTTTTTCTTTGATTCTAAACGTACTTTTCCTATTACTATGTAATTTATTTAGAGCTTGTTTGGTTGAAAAAATAAAATGGGGAAAGTGAACATTAATGGAATTTTCTATTTGGGGTAGTTGTTCATTTGTTTGTTTGACATAAAAAAAGCAAAAATATTGGAAATCACGAGAATTTCTACTTCCCACAAAACATAGGAAGTAAATTATAAAGGCCCACCTTGATTAATCAAAATTCATGGAAATTTCAACTTCTCACTGTCACAACCAAACAATTTAAAGAAATTCCTAGAAATTTCATTTGGGAAATAATTTGCCATGAAATACAACTTCCTACGGAAATTTATTTCCCTTGTCAGTCAAACGAGGCCTTAGTGTCCCTATTCTTCATGATTTTGTTGGAAAGTTTTCATGTATCAACAAGATGACGAGTGAATGTAAAAAAAAATCGATTTCTTGGTTACACTTATCTCTATTTATATTTATAGTACTATATAAAGAGAAAGGACATCTTGGTTGATAAATTTGCCTTTTTCCAAAATGCCCAACTGAATTCACAAAATTACTTATTCACTATTTTTTAAAAAATAAAAAATACGAGTAAAATAAGTTCATAAGTGCTCACAAATGAACAACTTCTTTGGGTTTACAGTAGATTTTTTTTCAAGGAAAAAAAAATCAAGTTAATCATACTATTTAACGTCTAAAGTGTAGGTCAATAACTGTTTATACATATTTTTTTTAAAAAAAAATACTTCATTGCTATATATTCAATAGTAAAATATATATTTATTTATTTTTTTTTAAAAAAAAAAAAGCTCACATCCACCCACATTTAGCCTGTAAATTTTATAACCCTTGAAAAGGATAAAATTATGGTCTTCAGTAGATTAAAAAGAAAGATACTGAATTATTTTCATAGAAAAATAAATAAAAACAAACAAACAAACTACCCAAAAACCAAAATTATCTACTTTTCATTAAAAAAAAACTACCCATAAACTACCCACGTTTACTTTTTTTTTTTGAGAGGAACCACAATTAACTTTGTTGAACGATAACCATACGTTTTTTTTTATTAAAAAAAAAGGAATATTAATACTCATATAGTCATCAATTCATCATATACCACCTTCATCTATGTTACAAAGAAAAAAAAAACAACTTTACATCTATTAAAAAGGAAAAAAAAAATAAAAAATTATACATCTACCTATATATATGTAGTATTACTAAAGATGTTTACTCTATATTCTTGAATCTTTTATACAAAAAATTCGGCAACCATATTTTTAAGGTTAAGGATAAAGAAGTGGAGTAAATTTGTTATTGTCTATCTATTTTTTTTTTTTTTACGATCTCTAATTTAAACCTTCAATTTAAAATTTTATGTAAGTATTAATTTCGAAAAAATCTACAATAACAATATTATGAGTAAAATAATAGTTTTCTATATTGTACACGCGTAGCACGTGTCTCATAGCTTATAAGGGTATAAAATGAAGATATTTTATGTTTTACGGCACTATTAAATTG